ATGGATCTGAGACTTTAAGGTCTACATTGCTAAATCTAACATTTATTTACCAGTCTTGGCATGAACATATTTTGCATTTTAATCCAGCCACTCTCAGGATGGGACTCCAGGCTCGATTTTCTGAGACCGCATTCTTGTAATTACAGGAAATAAGTCCATTCTTTAGAGAAGACATAGAAGCTTTTAAATCATTTATATGGAGCTTATGCTTGAAATTTGTCCAGCACAATAAGGAGCAACCAGCCATTCTGAAACCTTTGGTTTGACTAAAATACTTAAAGACACCATGTTCACCCACTACCTGATCTTTTGTAGACATTTGATCAGGACTCCAGTGGTGATGCTTTTCATACTTATGTTACCTCATCACACTATGAACTGTAAGTCCTTTTTACCAGTGGAAGTAATCAATAATGACTGAAAATATAATCAATCATATCAGAAAACAAATACCAGAAACCCAGGTCCGGTCTTCTATATCGGATTTGGTAGAGAATTATCTGTGTGTGTGTGTAAACCTGCTCAGAATTAAATCAGCTGCTCATAACAAGTAAAAGCATGGCTTAACACTCCAGAGCTCTGGTTTTCTTGGGCAACGCTGGAGGCGACCATAGAAGGTGTTTTGGGTACTTCATCATGTTGTCCACAGCTTCTCTCCCTTGATTTTCTGTTTTGTGTCTATTGTTTTTACTTTTGATCTCCTTTCCTAAATTACTACACCAAACTGCCTATTTGGTAGGTGGTTTCCATGAAATATCGCACATTCAAATCATTGTACCCTTATGTTTGCTTTGGCATTCTTACAAGTAATTAAATTCCTTCTTAACAATTTCAAATGCAAGGTGTCTGATGGATTAAGCCATTGAAAAGAAAACATTAGAGACATGGGATCACCCTGAAAAAACTACAGTTTCCAATTGCTTAATTTTGGAGCTGTAAAACATAACTTGAAGCACATCTTTAAACAATACAAATGAAAATGTGAATATATATATCTGGACATCTGAAGACCTGGGTGCAAAATATCTACCCATTTCTGTGGGTTCTCATGCTACAAGGATGAAGCACACGGCTAGGATCGTGTCACATACAAAAGTGTGTGTGTGTGTGTGTGTGTGTGTGTGTGTGTGATAAAAGGTTTTATTTAAGCTGTTTTTATGCACCTTCTTGAAATAGTTTTGGCAATCATCCCTGAGGGATAGATGAGAAGCCCTCTTTGCAGAAGAAGAAGCTCATGTTTCATTCCCCTCATGATCTGGGATCCAGAGATGAGGGAACTTGAGGAGCTTGGCCAATAACTCCCTTTCTCCCACTCACAGGATTTTGTCCTCTACTGACACCTGGTGCATCTCTGTGCCAGCTGCATCCCAATCCCTGAAATCTGATCAGTATCAGCCGATGAGCCATGCAGATACCTCCAAGCCTTCTCCACGGGGCTGTGAGCATGATCTTGACCACCTGATTCTATCATTCTCCTGCTGAAATCCATTAGTGACTCCCACTGATTGCATGGAATACAAACCAGACACAAAAGAGTATGTCATAGATGATTCCATTTATGTGGAATTTGAAAAAATTTAAACTAATCTATGGTGATAAAAAGCAGACTAGTCCGGTATGGTGGTGCATGACTTTGATCCGGGTGACTCAGGAGGCTGAGACACGAGGATCACAAGTTCAAGGCCACATGGACAACTTAGACCTTGTCTCAAAATAAAAACAATTTTAAAAAAGAACTGGGAGTGTAGTTCAGTGGTAAAGCACCTCTGGGTTAAATCCCCAGCAACATACACATGTACACACACACACACACACACACACACACAGAGAGAGAGAGAGAGAGAGAGAGAGAGAGAGAAGTAGACTAACTGTTGCATGGGCTGTGGGTTGCTGGAAGGTGGTCTATAAATGGCATAATGTAAGTGTAATGTGTCTTGATTTTGATAGTGTTTTCATAAATGTACACATCTATCAAAACTCATATTGCATACTTTAAATGGATGTGGTTTGTTGTATACAAAATATACTTTAAAATTTATTTAAATATCTATAATGGGTGAGATGTGTTTGTTAATGTCTTTCTAGGTTGATATCTAAAGTTTAGTATTTGTGAGTTATTGTTGCATTTGAATATAACTGAAAATGTAAATGCATTTTAATAGTGTCCAAAATAGAGTTGGTGCAATTTGGAAGTGAGAAAAGGTACTTGTGTGTAAGAAAAAGAGCTATTTCCTGGGCACCAGAGGACACATGGGTAATAGGCTAAAATTAGGGACTAAGTTCATATACTGTATTAGTCAGCTTTTTGTCACTGTGACCAAAATGACTGACAAGAACAACTTAGAGGAGGAAAAGTTTACTTTGGTTAATTACTTCAGAGACTTAGCGCACGGTAGGCCAACTCCTTTGCTTTGGGTTCAAGATGAGGCATCATGGTGGAAGAGGGTGGTGAGGGAGCGCTGCTCCATTCCTGGTGGCCCAGAAGCTGAGAGAAGGCAAAGGGGTCACATGGAAGGTGAGCCCCTGGAGGATACTCCCCAGTGACCACCTCCTCCTGCCATGCCCCATCTGTCTATAGTTACCACCCAGTCTGCCCATCCAAACTAGGTTACAGCTCTCATGTCAACCCAGTCATTTCACCTCCAAACATTCCTGCACTGGGGACCTCTGACGGGTACCTCATCCAAACTATAACATATATTCAGACCTGATCTAAGTTTTTGTGAGTGAGACCTGGGGTCTTTCCATAACCACAAAAAATACATTTTGCTTTTGACTGATAAATTCTAAGTGAAGGTAAAATATTTAATTTGTTGGGTTTTAAATGGGTGCTTATGAAACATGACACAAATTTACATGTAAAAAAATAGATATGCTCTTCAGCATACAGTGGAGTTATGTCTTAACTAATCATAAATAGAAAACATTGTAAGTAAAGCATGCATTTAATAACCTGACCTTCCAAACGTGATGACTTAGCAGCACAGCCACTGTAGAGTATTTGTTGTTTTCCCTTGGGTTGGCTGATGGGGAGAGGCATGATGTTAGTTGTTTCTGAGTATCGTACTACATATCTCTAGCCTGGGAAGTGAACAAAATTCAAAACTTGAAGTGTGGTGTTTGTGGAATGCATATCACTTTTGCACCATTATAAAGTCAAAGAAATAATGTCCAACCATTGTAAGCTGTGGACCATCTATATTAAGTGGTATATTTTAAGATCCCCAAATGAAGTTCAAATACGTTATTTGTGTTTCCTTATGTATTTTTGCATCAAAACCACATAAGGGTTCTTTGTGTGCCCATCTGCATTAAATGTTCTGTGGATGGATTTCCCTCCATGTCAGTCTTTTTTTCTTTTGTCTCATTTATCACATCCTAGGTATAGCCTATTGTGAGATGGTTACATTTTTATTTGTCATCAACTGATCATGCAAAAGGATAACCTGAAGTCTTATAAAAAACTACTGGTTTTTATACCAATTAGTACCAAAAAGTGGACCTTTTATTGTCAAAGTCCTTAATAGGAATGCATTTTACTCAGTTCAACAATTTGATTCAACCAATGTTTATTGATTTCAAGGTTGTGCAAGATCCTGTGATGGGCACTTAGAAAGATGTCTTTCTTCCTCCTAGAGTATAAGTAAGCCCTCACTTGACTTTCGCTATCTTACTGGTTAATTAGGAAGCAGATTTATCTGTTGTCGATGGGCTTCCTAAATGGTTGCTCCTTAATAGCTAATTAGTTCAGCTTCATAATTTCACTTAGTGAAAGTGAAATGACACAGCTCAATACCACTAGGTGAGCTTTAGCGAGGAGGGGGACTTTTGGATAAAATGGCTCATGGTGTGTGAAGAAGACACTCAGAATACCCTGGGGTGGAGGTGGGAGACACATAGAATCTCTGCAGTGTCCACATCTTCTCATTGCTTTATATCATGTGCCAAAGGTAGGGGTTTCTGAAAATAGCATCCGACTTTTAAAGAGAGACAAAGAAGATAGTTTTACAAGTAGATTTTTCTTGCCCTCATATCATAACTCTGTCAGAAATACCCTCAACCAATGCCAGTGTGTTATCTCACCCCTTTGACCCCTAGGGCAATTCTGAGAAGTTGACAAGAAGATGTACTATTAATTTTAGAGATCTTAGAAATCAATTACCATGGTTCTGAGAATATGCATCAGGTAAGATGTAGAACAGGAAGTGGGATGCAGGTCTCCATATTCTGGTCCTGAATTCTTTGCATCACCCCACCATGGAAAGGAGCATAGGGGTGTGAAGGATGGGGGGCATGCATAGCAGAGATAGCTAGCAAAAGAGACTATTATTTAGATAATTTCCCCTACCCAAGACAATTAGGTGACATTTTGTCTGGCAAATGTATTGCCAAGGAACAGAGGTAAAGAGAGAAGAGAAGAGAAAACCAAATAACAGAGAGAAAAGAGAAGAAACCAAGAATGGAAACAGCAGAAAAGTCTTCTTATCAGTGCATAAATGTGGAGGAAAAAGGGAGGGCTCTTCATCACCTGTGATTACACCTGCCTGCTCCTGAGAGTTGTGGTTTAATGTTTTGTCTGGTAGTAGCCTAGCAGCGAGCCTCTGGAGACCACAGAAGGCTAGGAAGCGACTGCCTGGAAGAAGTAAGACAGCTTGCTGAACATTATCTTGTAAAACGTGGGAGGCAAGTTTTGATGCTGTTCTGGAAACCAAACAATTGCTAGCAAAACTTCCTGCTGGCTTCTCTCCCAGAGCAAAGCTTGGTTTTTCATAGTCATAGGGATTTCCCAGGCAACAGGAGTGTAAACTTGAGAAAAGGTAGGACCAGAATAGAGATTGACAATGAGCTAAGCCAATCAGGCTATGAGTCTGTAGCAGGGCTCCTAGGCCATCCAATTAGCACTAAGAGGCAGGACTGACACCTCGGAGGAAGACAGGTAAGAGGGAGGAGGCAAAGGGGATTGGGAGGGGACCAGATTTCCCAAATGGGGGAGACTGCATCCATAGTTTCAGTTGGAAGGAAGCAACTGGTGGCAACACTTTAACATTTAAGGTAACAATGTTTCACTTGTTCCATTGGTTTGGTAACTTTTGTTTCATTTAAACTAGGAACAGAAAATAGTAGAAAAGGTTTTCCTTTTAGAGAGTAAAAAGTTGATGTGAGTTCTTAGTCATTGTTAGGCTGTCAGTCCATGGAGGTTACAACTTGGCACTGGGAGAGCTTTGATACAATCATTGCAAAGAGATGCTCAAGTAAAAATGTACAAAAATACATTTCATGCAGAAAAGGGAAGGAAATAAATATGGAGTCATTCTGTACTGGGTGCCCAAGTGTGTGGTGTTTGGGTGGTTTATTATAACTATGGCCATTTATTACACTGAATTGTGGGAGAGGGAAGTTTCTACATTCCTAAATCTCAAAGCATTGCCAAGATTGTGCTTTCACAAACCTTATTTCATCTGATAAGTTTGTACTACTTCATCCATACCTTTCTGAATTGATGACAGAATCAGAATAAGAATCAGAATTCTCATTAAAGGCTACTGATATGACCTGTTTGGAATTTATATTAGAGAGTTGACTTGATTAATCATTATTTGGGAAGGATCTTGACAAATGGGGCGTCATTTGCTCAGGTGCACATTCCTTTTGCCTGCAGTCTGGAGCATAAGTAAACCATAAGTGAAAGTGAAATGCTTTCCTGTTTTAAAAGTTCTTATTTTTTTCCCCCCTCAAAATCCTACAACTGCAAAAGTTTCCTTATTTGGTTATTATAAATTTTATGAGATTTAAATTGCAGGCATTCATTTGTATTTGTATTCTGATGAAAATTATCTGATAACAATAGCAATGATCAATTCTAATACTCTTCTAAGAGCACCATGTGAAGTGCTGATGACAGGAAATGCAAATGACACAGCCCTTGCTCTTGGGGTCCTGAGAGTCTAGCAGGGCAGGAGGTTCTAAAAAATAAAGAATTACATTATGGTTCAGTTTGTGGATGCTATTTTTGGGTTTTGCACAAGGATACACAAAGATATTTCTGTCTGGGGAGTGATTGTGCCTTCACCACAGTGATTATCCAAAGATGGGCAGGACTTCTCCAAGGTGACAGCATGCCTATGTGCATAAAGACACAGAAATCTCAAATACTTTGATATTTTGGGGAATGTGAGGAAGTAGAGATTCAGGACCAATTTTGAAAGGGGTGAAAATTACTAGAAAGAAGGAATAAAACACCCAGAAGTTTGGGAGGCAGAGACAAGAGGATTGCGAGTTCAAAGCCAGCCTCAGCAATGGTGAAGCACTAAGCAACTCAGTGAGACCCTGTCTCTAAATAAAATACAAAATAGGCCTGGGGATGTGGCTCAGTAGTCGAGTGTTCCTGAGTTCAATCCCTGTACCAATTTAATCAATCAATCAATCAATCAAATAAAAAAAGAAAAAAGGTGGGATAAGACACAGGATTGTCCAATGCATGAATCCAGTGCTAAAATTTTTCACTTTACTTGTACATTATTTAGTCACCCAAGGGTTTTATATTTTTCTTTTTTAAAAACATTTCTCTTTTATTATTTTTATTTGTTCTAATTAGTTATACATGACAGTAAGAATGCATTTTGACACACTGTATACAAATGGATCACAACTTCTAATTCCTCTGGCTATACAAGGTGCAGTTACCCCAGTAGTGTAATCATAACATGTAATAGGGTAATAATGTCTGTCACATTCTACCATCTTTCCCATCCCCACAACTCCACCCCTTCCCTCACACCCCTCTACACAAACCAAAGTTCCTTTGTTCTTCTCTGTCCCCCTACCCTACTATGATCAGCATCCACTAATCAGAGAAAACATTCAGCTCTTTGTTTTTTGGGATTGGCTTTTTTCACTTAGCATGATATTTTTTTTGTTCTATCCATTTACCTGCAAAAGCTATAATTTCTTCTTTAAGGCTAAGTAATATTCCATCATGTACATATACCTCATTTCCTTTATCCATCATTTGTTGAAATGCGTCTAGTTTGGTTCCTGTGCTGCTATAAACATCGATGTGGCTGTGTCACTGTAGTATGCTGATTTTAAGTCTTTTGGGTATAAACTGAGGAGTGGGATAGCTGGGTCAAATGGTGGTTCCATTCCAAGTTTTCTGAGGTATCTCTATACTGCTTTCCATAGTGGTGGCATCAATTTGCAGTCCCACCAGCACAATATGAGTGTACCTTTTCCCCCACATCCTTGCCAACAATTATTATTGCTTGTATTCTTGATAATTGCCATTCTGACTAGAACCAAAGTGTTTTAAATAAGAGTGTGAAGCTCAGGCTTTCGAAGATTCCTCTGATAGTTGTCTGAAGGATGAATTGGAGGGGGCAAGGCTAGAGGCGGGAAGTCAGCTAGGAGACAGTTGCTTGCGAGATACCCAGGTCCAGGAGAGAGCAATGAGGGTGAGGGAACAGAGAGGTGGGCCGTGTCAAGGTAGTGAAGCAGGACTCAGCTGCTGAGTGGATGTAGAGGGTGAGGTGGAGTCTGAGACGACATTCAGTTAATGGTCTAGGTAAATGGTGTTGCTGTTCCTGAGGCAATGAGTAAAGAGAAGGTAGTTATTCTTTTGCTTACGTATTTTTGCATCACAACCACATAGGGTGAATTTCATTCTGGAACGTTGAAACCTGAAGTCTCTGTGAGTCATGCAAGTGCACACATTTTGTGGGGGAAATTAGAAATCTGTATCTCTGCAGCTCAGGAGGGTTAGGGTTAGAGTAAAGACTGAGGAGTCATTGTTGCCTCAGTGGCTCTGGCTGAGATTGCTACAGATAAGGGAGAAGGAGAAGAGCATACATAATTGAAGGCTGAGAAGCAAGAGTATTTAAGAAGCAGGCAGAAGAGAGGGAAGAAATGTAAAAGGATCCACTCAAGAGGACGGAGGAGAGACAGAGGAAGTTAGATTCATGGATATTGAGAAAAAAAGTTTCAAAATGCAAGAATGATTGATAGAGTCAACTGTTGGAAGAAGAGAAGTGGAGACTGAAAATGACGACTGAAGTTGGTGAGCAGACTTACTGAGGACCTGACTTACTGAGGACATGTTCACTGGAGTGACAGTGGGGACCACTCTGCAGTAGACTGTGGTATGGATGGGGCGTGAGGAAGTGGGGAAACGGGAGACTTTTTCAAGTCATTGGGTTTGAAGGATGATGGCCCAAGGAGATCCAGGACTGAGGGACCACATGGATTCATGGACTAAGACTCATGGTAGAAGGAGGGAAAGGGCATGACTCATGGAGGAGGGTCCAGGAGGGGCTGGGGTCTCTATTGAGGTGGGGAGGTAATCCTCAGGTGGAAGGTCAGCACTCCACCACGGGGAGGAGGAGTGCGGTCAGGGTGGTCTCAGGAATCTGAACTTTTATAGACTGGAAGAGAGCGCGAGTTTCCCTTCTGATGACATCATTTTTTTTTTCCCTGTCACTTTCAAGGCAAGTGTGCAGGAAAGCGGCAGAGATTTGAATTAGCCTCTGAGGAGAGTGGAGGAACAATGACCAGCATCATATAAACTCGGGGTCATTCATGAGCTTGTCCCTATTTTTACATAAGAACACACTATAGTGACTAGGGGCTCCTCATTTACAGAATGGATATTTTCTGAAATGTTGTGGGTGATTTACAAATGACCCTGTTCAGAATCTTGGTTTGCTACTTAGTTATGAACTGGCACAACACCTAAATCTCTCTGTAGCCCATTTTCCTATTTTGAAACAAAGGTTTAACCATGTTCCCATGCCAAAAAAAAAAAAAAAAAGTACATTGTAAACTATAACTGTTATTATTAAGACTTACTTTATATATATATATATATATATATATATATATATATATATATATATATATATATATATATTTAGTTGTAGATGGATACAATTTATTTTGTTTATTTTTATGTGGTGCTAGAATTGAACCCAGGGCCTCACACATGCTGGACAAGTGCTCTACCACTGAGCTATAACCCCAGCCTCACTTACCTTATGATAGTAGAATGAATCAGGCATTACTTTCTTATGTTCACATATAAATACGTGACCAAAGTAATTCCACATCATATATAATTAGAAGAATCAGAAGTTGAACTCCTTATGTGTATAATATGTCAAAATACATTTTTAAAAACTTACTTTACACCAGAGAGATATTCCATTCTAAACAAACCAATTGTGAAGAGTCTTCAAAACACAGGCCAGGATCCCAACTCAGAGTACATATTCAATAATGTTGCTATTGTTCTTATCTTTTTCATAGTTTCAGGGTTGGAAATTGTCCTGATATGCTGCCAGATGATAAATATTTTAGGTTTTGTGAGCTAGAAGGTCTTTGATGCAACCATTCAACTTTGCAGCGGTTGTATGAAAAAGTCCATTAGACAAAACATGAACAAATGTGGTTGTTTTTCAATAAAACATTATTTATGAAACTTTATTTATGGAGGGTCAAATGTGGCCCATTCGTTTGTTCGATGCTTCAAGTCTACATCATTTTAGGTAACGTTTTCCTGAACTCAGGGCCTCCTTCATACCCACGGGTGGAAAGTTGAACCTTATTTGCTTTGGAGGAACAGAGGTTGAGAAGTGAGAAGTCATTGATGGGCTAACTTCTGCTCCTTGGTCTTCCCCACCAGGGTGATCTGGCTGCTGTGTGTCAGCTCCAGGTAGAGACCTGGGTTAAGCTGTTGGGGGTGTGCTCAGATTCCTGCTTTTGGAAATGGCTCTTCTTTCTGCCAATCAGGGTGGAAACTGCAAGTTGCTAATTCAATAGCCAGTTTCCTCTTCTTTATAATAAGAACTTGGTGGGTGCAGGGTGCAAAGTACCTAGCCCCAAATTAGGATTCCCAGCCTCCTTTACAGGAGTGGCAAAAATGATATTTAAATCATTGAATGAAGTTTTTGGGAACCACTGAGTAGGGGGCGGATTGAAGTGGGAAGTGTATCCTTCCTGCTTTTTGTACCTTTTTCTCTTTTGCTATTTGGAGTGCAGATGTAATGGTTGGAGCTGCTTTG